GCTCACCTCCCACCGCGGCCCTTTATTCGCATCCAGACCGTGTTTCCTGCCGGTGGAGCCCAGCCGGAGCCCCGCTAGGCGGGCATGGACCTCTAAGCGCGGAAGTGCAGGTAACCTCCTGCTTGGTCTTGGCAGGGTCCGGGCTGTCCCCCCACCCCCCAAGGCAGGAGCACGGCAGGGGGGCCGGGTCACAGCGGGGACCCAGCACGGACAGCTCGGAGCCTCGGACCCTCTGAGGCCAGAGGCCGGGGCGACCCCCTGGGCAGATAGATGGAGGAGCAGGGCTGGGCAAGGTCACCAGGTCCCCAGATGGGCCAGGGTCCAGGGACAGCGCCTCTGTGGGGCTTCCGTGTTTTATCGCCTTTGTTTCCCCTAACTTTTCAAGGGGGCTTCCCAGGGGAGGTCAGCCCGAGACGGTCCCTCAGCCAGGGTGCCTGGGACCAGGGTGCCCGGTGGACAGTGACCCCACGCTGGGTCCGATGATAAGAGGCCAAGCCTCTTGTGTGAAGTGAGGAGGGAGTCAGGAGGAAAGCGGGACGAGGCCAGGAGCACAGGAATGGGAACAGGCTTCAGGGAGCCACAAGGCTGCTTCCAAGACATCTACCCTCTCTGGGGTGGGGTTCAGAGCACATGTTGGAGGCTCAAACCCAGCCCCTGACTCCCTAGCTGGGGGGAACGCAGGTCTCCCCTTCTGGCCTGCTACACCCTCAGTTTGCCCATCTGTGAAAGGTGCAAAGGCAGCGCCATCCTGAGGGGCCACTTCAAAGGTCTGCAGGGCACAAGGTGAAAGCTGGGATGGCAGGCCCCCACCTGGAGCCTTTCAGCAGAAAGCCAGGCGGGTGTGGATACACTCAGGAGAGGTGGCCCCTCCGGCAGCCCTTGGAGCCCACCAGGGTCTCCCAGAGCCTCGGCCGGTGAGGCTGGTGGCCTCGTGCCGCCCACTTTACAGTGACCAGACGGAGGCTCTTGGGGACAGCTTGGTCCCAGGTCGACTGTGCCTGGGGGCGAAGGTCTGTGTGCAGCAGGGAGCGTCCTGCAGGGCAGGATGGGCCGAAAGGGGCCTCTTGGCATGGGCCACCTCGAGAGGGACACTGGTCCCGGGGACTGGGTGTCCATCCAGTGGTGGGGACCCATGGCAGAGGCCCTGCCACAGTTGCCCGGTCCTGCCTACCCACCCACCCTCTGCAGGACCTTCACAGTCCTCAGAGGAGGGAGGGAGTGCATACAGGCAGGAGTCCCAGGCAGTGTGGGGCCCCGTCCCAGCTCCAGGGTCTGTGCTTGTGTGACCTCGAATGAGCCCCAAAGCTCTGTGCACCCTGTGACCTCAGGTGTGTAAGAGGGAATGGGGTCGGAGCCAGGATGGAGACGTCAGAGTGCGGGGAGGAGGCGGGCTGCAGCGTCCTGGGGACCTTTGCACACATGCGGAGCCCTGCCCTGCACCCCAGGTGGTAGCCCTGACCCACGGGGCTCCCCCGAGGAGGAGCAGCCAACTGGGCGGGGTGCACACCTGTCACCCAGCACTCTGGGAGGCTGAGGCCGGAGGACCACAAGCTCCAGCCCAGCCTGGGAAACTTAGGAGTTGTTAGTAAGATTGTCTCAAAATAAAAAATAAAAATAAAAAAGAGGGCCGGGGATTTAGGTCAGTGGTTCTGGCGCCTGCCTTACAAAGTACAAGGAGCTGAGTTCAATCCCCGGTACCAAAAAATAAATAAATAAATAAATAAATAAAAAAGAGCTAGAAATTTCAATCCGTGTGAAGGCCCTGGATTCCAGCCCCAGCACTGGGAGAGACGGGGAGAGGAAGCGGGCCGGAGGGACAGAAAGGAGCAAGTAACTGCTGGGTTTTACTTTACATGTTTTTGGTAGCAGCAGTCTCGTCACTGGCAGGAACCCCAGCAGGTACTGAGTGCTCCGTTGATGATGGGTCTAATGTCTGGTGATTCTACACCCCTTTGGCAGATAGGGAAACTGGGGGTTGGGGAGCGAGGGGCATTTTCTAGGGCCACTCAGGAGGCCGTTATGAAGGGGAGGGAAGAGAGCCCCAGGACGAGGGTCTTCTCACCCACTGCCCCTTCCTGCCCTGCTTCTCCAGGCCCTGCTGAGTTGGGGGAGCTGGGAGGACCAGGCTCACAGGTGCTGCTGCCCCCGGCCTGCCCTGGCCCCAGGCCAAAGGGACTTTTCATGACAGCTCAGAAGAGAGCTCTGAGTAAACCTGGAACTGCTACACCATCTGCAAACATTCCCCGGGCTGGGCAGGGCCCCAGCCAGGACACCTGCAGCCAGCCGGGGCCCCACCTGCGGCTCTGCAGCCTCCGGCACTGTCCCCAGGGAGGCAAGGACCCCGCGCTCCCTGCCTGTGCCTGTGGCTTCTTGGGCTCTGCCCCGTCTTCCAAGAGCCCTAGTGGTGCAGCTGGATGCATCCCCATCACAGCCTCCGATGCACATTGGTTATCTGAGGCCCAGGAGTCCCACCGCAGTCTCCTTTCCGCCACAGCCACGTGGCCGGTTCTTCCTGGCCCAGTCAGAACTGGCTTAGCTGAGAACCTGCTATGGGAGGCTGGGCAGACCCCCAGCTCTCTGCATGGCCTTGGCTGTCTGTTGGCAGCAGGTGCTGACCGCCACTCAGACTCTGGGAGCTGAGGGTGTGGCCCTAGGTGGGGACAGTGACAAAGCTGATGGGGAGACTGAGACCTTGGGGGCCGGCCCGGGGCTGGTCCTTGCATGACCCTGCCCAGCAACTCTGTTCTCATGCAGTCACCCTGTGAAGTGGTGTTCCGGGCAGATAGTTCAGCAGAACTAGTCACCAAACCAAGTCCACTATCGAAGCTACTGCAGAGGAGAGAAACAGCCACGTGGTGCAGAGAGCCGCAGAGTAGACCGCTCCTGACACGGCAGAGGGCCTCCTTCAGGAAGCCATTTCATCCTCATTGATGTTGAAACTTGATATGAGAACACAGATAAGCTGGGGAAAAGCATTCTAGGCAGACAGCATGGTATATGCAAAGGTCCTGAGGTGGGAAGAAAAGGTAGAGCCTTGGTTCTCTTCTATAGACATAAGGTCTTTCTTAATACAAGAAAGAGAAGTCAAAGTAAGCTTAGAGGATACAGCCTGTGTCGATCCTATCACTGACAGTAACCCTCACCTCCTATGACGCTAGAAAGCGCTGTTTGTCATTTAGTCACCCACATAACACATCAAGAGCATGTGTTACATGTGAGGCCCTGGGCAGTCCCTAGGGGTCAGCAGTAGCAGGAACACACCATCTCTGCCCCAAGGCTGCCCAGAACACAACTGGAGCTTCCTGAGCTGTGTTCCTAGGGAAGGGATGGCTCTGGAGGGAGTGGCTCCCTCGCTGGAGGGGTCAGGGCCAGGCCTGGACATCTGAGCTGGGCCTTGAAGCCTGAGTGGTAGACTGGGCAGGAAGAGAGCACTGGGAGGGCGGGAGCTGGATGGACAGGCCGGAGGAGCCAGGCTGAGTCCTGGGGGCACTGGCAGAGGGTCCCTGAGGGCAGAGGATGTTGTGGAGAGGGGTGGGAGAGCCTGGGGTCAGGAGCAGCAGAGGAGGTCAGAGACCCGGCCAGAGCCTCCTGGGAAGTCCCAGCCTCCACAGCTTCTGCTTCAGGGCTGCTCCTGGGGAGTCCCTGTGGGAAAGGGGCTCTTCCTTTACCACACCCTGCAGCGGGGTGCAGAGTGAGCGCCCTGAGAAACGGGAGCTCAGGTCTCCCGGGGCGGGGTGGGGGGCAGGGAAGGGAGCACAGAAGTCCAGCGCCTGGGCTCCATCCAGTCTCTAGGCTCTGCATGGTGCCTCTCGGCTGGGCCTGCTGGCTGCTGGCATGTGCATCCCACCTATGCCCCGCAGCAAAAGCCCTGCGCCCACAGTTCAGCAGGAGATTTCCACTCTGCCGGCCGACGTGGAGAGAGGGAGGTCGCGCTGCGCCCTTCCCTGGGCCTGCTCTCCACCGGCTTCCTATAACCGCCCCAAGTTCAGCTTGTTTTCCATTCTATTATTGGAAACTTGCAATGACAAAAATTCTAACTTGTAACTAAATCAAGTTTATCGCATTTTTTTTTATAGTGAAAGCTTGCTAAGAAGAGATGCCACACTGAGGTTAGGAAAATATTATCCTGTGCTTTCTTCTGGAGGATTTACGGTTTTACTTTCATGTTTGTATCTACAGAGTGGAATTTATTTTCATGCTCTGTGTGAGATGGGTATTTTTCAAGGTGCATATTTCCCTCATATGACTAGTTGACTACTATGCCATCATGTTTTAATGGCATGCTTTCCTCATGCTTTTCACAGATGCATTTATTAGAAATCAAATGATTATTATCTATTTCTAGAGTCTATTTCTAGAGTCTCTATTCTTTTCTATCAGCCAGTTTGTTTCTCTTTGCCATGTTTTCTTGATTATTTTATAGGTCTTAATAGTCTTCAAATTGTCTAAACTATTTTCAGCTCTTGTACCTCTATATAAATTTTAAAATAATTTGGTCAATCAATTTCCATGGAAGAAAATCTTGCTGGAGTACTTTTGTAACCTTGAGAGCTCACTGAAACTTTAGCTCAATTTGAAGAAAATGGACTTGTTTAGCTCTCTCAATCCATGAACATAGTATATACCTCCATTTGTTTCTATTTCTTTTAATTTAATTTATCATAGTAATATTTTATAGGTTTCTGCATATAAGTCTTGTAAATCATTAGTTAGAGTCATTCTTGGGTGTTTGATTTTTTTGATGTTTATGTAAAATGCACAATTTTAAAATTTGATATTTGTTCTTAGCGTACAGAGATATACAGAGACGATTTTTAAAACATTTTACAACTTTGTTTTCCAAGTTAGATTGTAGATGTACGTGCAAATAGTTACCAAACCAGCTCACTTTAACCAACTGCAGATAAGAGATCTGTCTTGGTTTTGATTTGGGTTTTGGTTTGCTTTGAGTCAGGCTCTTGCTGTGCTACCCAGAGCCAGCTTCAGACTCCTGGACTCAGGGCTCCTCCTCCCTCAGCCTGTGCACAGCAGGCATCCACTTAGAGAAGGGGTTCTGACTTTGCTTTCATGATGGAAGAAGCTGTCTTGGTGCAAAGCAGAGGGTCCCAGG